AGGACGAGTGAGATTTCCTGTTGTGCAAAAGTTCTCAGGGAGGGCAGAGGCTGCAGATGCCCAGGACCAGCCGCTCCGGGTTCTCTGCCTGCCAGAGGAGCTCCTGGCCCCTCCTGCTTCCTTTCCAGAGCACCGGGTACCCCTGGCCTTCTTGGTCCTGTTCTTCCCACGCCCCAATGTTCCTGAGGCTCTGCGATTTCCCACCAGCACTGTGGGAATGGGTGGATATTTTCATGCAAGCCTGTACCAAGATTATTCACAAAGCCAGTGTGAGGACCAGGGCTTCTCACGTGCTCTGTATGAGTCTGTTACTCCCACCTGGGCTTGCCTGTGTGGTCAGAAGACCCTCACCCCTGGGGATGCGGACCCCACCACACCTGGCACAGCCCTGGGGCTGGGCGGGCGCAGGAGAACCCTGGGTCTTTCTGGACTGCACATTGCCCAGCACACTGAGTCCCACACCCTGGTTCCAGTAGCTAGAACACACCCTCTAGAGACAAGGGGGAATGGGAGGGCCAGTCCTGAGGCCATGGGGTGGAAGGTTCAGGTGCCCACCTGCTAACTCCATCCTATGGGAACACAGGCGTCAGTCAGCTCAGCACACTGCCCCCCGTGCTCTGGAGAGCAGAGTGCCAGACTGCCCAGGCCATGACAGTGAACGCTGGACGAGCTCCAGAAGACACGGTTGAGTAGTGTGGCCTCAGACAAGTGCCTTAATTTGTGCCTCAGTCTCCCCATCTGTCAGCTGGGCACACACTAGTCCTGACCTAGCAGCCTGTGCAGAGTTCTACAGAGCGCCCTCCTGGCAGCTCCTGGTAGACGGGCATTTGTGAAATGGATGAATGCACCCAGAGGCTGGGATCACCGGGCAAGAGGCAGCATGGAGGTGGCCATGCCTGGCCTCTCCCCGGGCTGGCATGCTGGGTCCAACCGGCCCCATAGGCTCTTTTTCCTGCCAGAATGCCGCCTCCTCGCAGTGAGCAGCAGAGCTGTTCCAGCGCAGGCAGCCGGGGTGCGTTTGGCAGGAGCTCTGTTGCCGCGTGGGCTGGGATGAGGCTTCCTCCGCTCCCATGATGCTCAGCTCCCTGCACCCCTGACCCAGCAATGCGGGCGGGGAGCCGGACAGCAGATGCAGCCAGGCCGGCTTCAGCCTGTTTTCCCCTCTCCAGCTATGGGAGGCTTCCTGTGCAGGCAGGACTTCAGTGTGTTTTTTCCCTGATGAGATGTTCAGAGGTGGTGGCGCCAGAAGGAGTGTGTGTGCTGGGCCCCCGCGCACCGCTTCCCCAACTTCTCACTGCCCCTGAGCCAGGAAATGGAAGAGCTACAGAGAGGGAGAGAGAGAGAGAGAGAGAGAGAGAGAGAGACAGAGAGAGAGAGAGAGAGAGAGAGAGAGAGAGAGAGAGAAAGAGAGACAGAGAGAGAGACAGAGAGACAGAGAGAGACAGAGACAAAGAGACAGAGATAGCAACAGAGAGACAGAGACAGAGATGGAGATGAAGAGACAGAAAGATGGAGATGGAGAGAGAGACACACGGACAGAGAGTGACAAAGAGACAGAGCGCAAAAGAGAGACAGAGATGGAGAGACAGACAGAGATAGAGTGACAGAGACAGAGAGAGACAGAGACAAAGAGACAGATGGAGAGAGACAGACAAAGACAGAGACATAGGGATGGAGAGACAGAGATGGGCAGATATATATATATATATATATATATATATATATATACATAGACAGAGACAGACAGAGACAGAGAGACTGAGACAGAGAGAGACAGAGACATCTTGGGTAGGATGTCTGTGGTACACACCAGTTTGGGGTTCACTCTGTGATAATAGTGGCAAAGCCATGCTGGTGCACATGGGTCCCCCTCAGAGGCCAGCTTCCACCTGACCAGCTGACAGACTGAGATGGGCTCATTCAGTGCTTCTCAGTATCTGTGGGCTGCACCCTGGTCCAGGCCCCCAAAGGCATCAATAAAGGAAAGGTGCAGGGTGCTCCTGTGGCCCTGATCTGGAGAGGAGCCGCTTCCCAGGCCCTTGGGGAGGCCCTGCCTTCCTCACCCCGCTGCCCTAGGTTTCTCTGCAGGCTCCCTGGGCCTGGTCCGCACTCCTGGCTTGGTGCCGACAGAAGCCTCCTCTGCTGAGTCCTTACGAATGTTAAATGCTTGGAGCTCGGACCCAGACTCTGCTACTTGGAGCTCAGACCCAGACTCTGCCACGGGGCACCGAGTGGGTCAAGTCCCCAAGGGTCCCCAAGGCAGGACAATGTGGAGCTGGCATTCTGGGGAGAGAACCAGAGAGGCAGAGGACAGTGCTCAGTGTCAGGGTGGCACATGGGTCCTGACCCTAGGAAGCTAGGGAGACGGAAGCTCTGCCTGTCTGTGGGCTGTACTGGGTAACCGAAGCTGCTGGATGACAAAGGGCGAGGTCCTCTCTCCCCGTTCTGGAGACTGGGACGTCCAAGGTCCAGTGTCCAGCACTGGGTGGGGGAGTCTTGCTGCCTGGTCCAAGGCAGCAGAGGAAAGGCAAGAGGGCAGCGGGCATGCAGGATACGGGCCACTGATGGACACCGACAATCAGAGGCCTGGCCTCAGCACCTCCGGTCCACCCTCAGCGCTGTCGAATCCTGGAGTAAGTGTGCGGCACTTGCACGTGGAAGGACACCATCAGACAGCAGCAGAGAGTCTCTGGCCCCCAGCCGCTACAAGATGCTGTCTGCCTGCTCCCAGCTGGACAGGATTTGTCACTGGCCTAGAATGCAGAGGCAGAGTGGATAGAGCTGTGTCTGCTGTCTGTGCACCAGGATGTCACAGAGGGGTTACATGATGTCTTTTCAGGGGTCCCATATTTCTCTCTGCCTTGAAGTAGCGGGCCAGAGCAAGGAGCCCGTGGCCATCAAGGCCCTGATTCCCAAGGTGAGAGCTCTGAGTCCATCCCTCAGGGCCAGGGACCACGGGCACGAGAGTGCCGAATTCCAGGGCTGCCAGGGATACAGTTCTACCTCTGCTCGGGAAGAGCCAGGGCCCAGGCACTGGGTGCTGCCCCACTGCCTAGACGGGCCATGGTCCTCAGGGCACTGTAGGGAAATGAGGGCAGGCGGGAGACTCCCTCTCGGAGAGGGGAAAAGGTGTGGGCAGTCCTGGAGTCTACCACACTCGGTGCTGCTGGGTAAGGCCGTGCTGCCTGCAAAATCTCTCCAGGTGGTGAATGGAGGACCACAGGGACCGCATTCTGCACCTTCCCAGCGATAGGGAGCCCCAGTCTCCATGATGTGATGTTGATCACCTGGAGAACGGGTGCAGTGTCCTCAGGGCGTGCTCTTTCCACAGCATGGCTGAGAAACGTGGCAGTAACAGAAGTTGAGAGAAAACCGGAGCCGAGGAGGCCGGAAGTGAGGGTGTGCTGGGCCCCCTAGGCTCCCGTTCATACCAGGCACCTCACTGTCCAGTGCTCTTTCTGTGTTTCTCAGTATCTATGGGCTGGGACAAGTTTCACATGGGAGCACCCCAACATTGGCCTGCCGCCTGAGGCTTCCCATGACCCCCTGCAGCCCAGCACACGGCTGTCCTTGAGGTGGGGAGGGCAGGGGATCCCCTCCGAGGGGTGCTTCCGGGGGCTCACCGGGCTTCTGGGCACCACCCAGAGATGCTCTGCTGCTACAGAGCTTGGGAGCCGGTACCCCTATCAGCACTTTCCTCCCTTGCCTCACACTGGGCTTCATGCCTGCTGCCCTGGACATTACTGCCCTGGTCAGGAGGGCTATGCCTGGGGAGCTCAGCCACCCCAGAGCTGTCCCAGCCCAGGACCACACTTGGTGGTCTGATGTGTCCAGCCTTGGCGGTCAACTAGGGAGTGGGTACTTTCAGGTCACAGAGCACAGAACATTCACCAACATTTCTGTAATTCTTACTGTACATGCTTCAAGTGCACCTGATTACACCCATTCTGCAGAAGGGAAACCATAAGACCGAATACTTCCCGAGAGGGTAGGACTGAATAACAGAGCCCCGGGACACCACAGCTCTCCTGAGAACAGGTAGGGTGCAGGGTGCGGGAGGAGCATGTGGACCCCACCTGTGCTGGAGTAGTCTGTGAACTGCAAGCATATGCAGGAAACCAATATGTGTCTTTTATGTGCATGCATGTGTGATATGTGTGCACACACATGTGATAGGTGTGTGTATGTAGGGTGTGCACATGTGCGTTGTGTGTGTGCCTGCGTGCTATGGGCACAGTGTGCTGCAGGTTCAATACACACACATGTGAGATGTATGTTGCATTGCAGTAATACGTGTTTGTGTGCTCTGTGCATGGATGTTGTGCATTGTGTGTACGCATGTGTTGTGGATTGTGTATGTTGTATTACATGTGTACTTGCATTTTTGTGTGTGACAAGTTGCCTGTGAGCACGGGGCATGTATTGGGTGTGTACTTGCACACTGTGTGTGTATCGTATGCACAGGTGTGGTGCATGTGTGTTTATGTGCCTTGTATGCTCATGTACCATGTGTATATGAGTTATGTGTCTTGTGTGTACATGTGCACGGGTGCACATGTGTGTGGTCATGCCTTGTGAAGTGCAGGAATCATGCATGAGGGGATTCAGTACCCCAGGGAGACAGAAGTGGCCCCCAGAACAGCAGAGGGGATTCAAGCAGAGAGCCACCAAGCCCAGCCTGTGAGCTGTCTGGGCCAGAGGCTGGGGTCCATGCTTGGGGAAGCAGGGCTGGTGTGGTCTGTGTTGTGACCTCCTGGAGTTACAAGAAGTTCTGACCCACTTTGTGATGTGTGACTGTTGGGGAGAACCTGAGAGCAGGGGACCCGGAAAAGTGTGGAAAGAAAGAAGACAGACAGACAGACAGACAGAAAGAAAGAAAGAAAGAAGAATGAGGAAAAGAGAAAAGTGAAGGCAGGTGGTAGAACCTGTCTCCCTGGAACCAGCTCTGAGGTTCCTGTGTTTCCGCCTTCTTGGCCCAGACTGAGAACAAAGGACTCCAGTCACCCGGCCTGGCCGATGCCTCCCTTTGCTTTGCTGGGAAGTCGTTTCCTTCTCCTTCCTGCTCAGGCTGGGTCAGGTGGCCTCTGTGACTCCTCAGGTCCCTCCCAGGTACCCCCATTGGGGCTGGGCTCGTGTCTGTGGCATTGCTGCGCTGGCCCTGGGCCGCAGGGATCCTTGGTGAGTGAACCGTAAATGTGCCAGGCTTCCTCAGCACCAGGGTGGCTCTGAGACTGGAAACACCCCCTTTTGGCTGCATGGGAAGGAGATCTCCCACAGAAGTATAACCGAGGATGTCGGGGCTCGTGTGAGCGGTTCAGAAGACATGACGGTGTGTGGCCGTGTGTACCGAGGACGGGGGACAGGTGTCCATGGCAGGCAGCTGTTGGCTGAGGGTCCAGGGAGGGGACTGTTGGTGACTGCAGGTGGTGGCACAGCAAGGAGGAGAAGAGAGCAGGTGTTGTGGCAGCTGTGGGCCTGGGCTTTCACCCTGACCTCTGCTGGATGATCACAAGCAGCCGGGAGGAGGGCAGCGCTGCGCGACCCTCAGAGGACAGGGTCTGAACGGGAACTCAGTGAGGTGACACGGGTGGTGGGAGCTGAGTGATTGGGTCTGGGTCTGGTTCCCAGTGTGATGGATGCCAAGGGTGGGCATGAGCAGAGAGTGACACAGCGGTCTCCGTACTCCAAGAGGTCCCCTGCTGCCCAGTGGAGGGGAAGATGGGCAGATCGGGGCCAAGTTCAGAGCCGGAGCTGGGAGAGCTGCTGAGGGCAGCAGGGAGGGCCAGTGGGCTGCAGAGCAGACCTGCGTGGGCCACTGGCTAGCTGGGGCTCTGAGCACTGAGATTGAAGAAGATGGGGTGGACTGAGATGGGGCTGGCCAAGCTTCTCTGCTGTGCTTCAGGGGCTCATTACACACAGCAGTGGGCTTGGAGTCTCCTCAGCAGCAGAGAGACCTATGGTCAGCTCAGGGAGCTGTCCCAGGCCATGGGACAGCTGGACAAGGAGGAGGTTTTGGCTTCACCTGGTATAGTCCAAGAGGCAGGCTGGAGAGACGGGGTTGGACCCCTGCCGGAAGGTGCAGAGGGAAAGAGCACCCACCACCTTGCTTTGATGCATGCACATGTTGCGTGTCTGCCCCGTTTGTGCATCTTAGAAGAGGAGGGTGATTCCTGAGGGGCTCTCTTCTCACTGTGTTCAGGGGCCTAAGGGGCCAGCTCTGTGGGATTTTCTTTCTGGGACTACGTTGTCATATTAGGGGTGGCACCCAGGGGAGGGGAAGGCACAGGAGCTGCTCTTGCTGCTCCTCTCTGTAAGAACTGGGGTAATGGTGTTCGCTCCCCACCAGAAGCTGTTTTCCGGGATGGTGGTGGGAGTCAGTTTTCTGCCCTGGGGCTGGGAACTGGACTGTTCCGGAAGCCATCGGAAAAGAGCAGGATGGAGACTGTGGCACAAGCATGTGGCCCGTGAACCCTCACAGCTGTCTCTGTGCCCCGCCTGCCTCCCACCCCTCCCATGTGTCCTGTCAAAGACCTAAGCTCAGGCCCTGGGGAAGTCTGTGACCACAAGGCAGGTGGGCAACACTTTGTGTGAGTTTTGTGTTTCTCTCCATTTCCCACCACAGGTGCTCCCCAGGTGGTGCCGAATGATTATTGCTGGCCCAACAGCTGCAGGTAGAAGCATCAGATGAAACGGAATTGGCGAAACAGGGTCCCAGCAGATCTGTCTATCAGAGGTGTGGCTTCAGAAAAATGGTGCATATTTTGATTTAAAGCCTTGAAAAAAAAGCAAAAATGAAATTCAGCAGACTTGGGACAAACAATTTGGAAAGAGTTCCTTGGAAGACCATCGCTGACAGCCACCTCCAAATGGCCAGCAGGTGTCAGTGTCATGTCCTGGAGCAGGACCCTCTGTCCAACAGTGAGTCAGCACTAGCCGAACTTGTCCTCAGACACACAAGGCTTCAAGGACAAGGGACCAACCCAGCCCTGCAAACCCTGAGGTCTTGTGTTTCTGCCTGGGTTATCATAAGAGCAAGGATGGGAGAAGAATAGCATCGTACTTCAAAGAAAATGTAGGAAGTGTTGAAGAGTGTGAAGAAAACAGAAAGCATTAATTTTATTTAAAGGTCATCAGTTTACTGAGCTAAGGAAGTCAAAGCATTTGGTAAGTTATGTAGTCTAGAACATTCTAGAAATGTCTGTGGCTATAAATGGTGTCCATGGGATATTGTTGGTTTTTAAAATAAATGTCTAAATTAGCATGCATAAAGTGATTACACTTACAGACCGCTCCACATTCCATATAATTAATATTTTTAAAAAATTAGTATATTTTCTTTTGTAAAGAAGTAATGAAATTGTTCAAAATTTAAACTGACAGCCTCACTCACTCCAAGTTACAACCCAGGGAGCTTCTGAAGTTCTCTTTGTGGCGCTAAGCATTTGTCTTGGTCTCTCTTTGTTAGTGCCTCTCTCTCTAGAAGCTAAGAAGAGGTAATACACTTTGTTCTGTATTTCTCCATTCTCTTTCTAGTCCAGCCCTAATGGAGCAACGTTTGAGTTGAATCTGAAGATGAACAAGACAATCATTGCCTATAGAATTTCCTCCAAATGGGGAACAAAATACACATGTATGTAATTCTAGGAAATATGGTCAGTGGTGTTCTTGGTTTTTTTGGAGGATGGAGGTACTGGGACTCAAACTCATGACCAGGTGCTTGCAAGACAGGTGCTTGTGCTGCTGAGCTATATCCCTGGCCCGCTGTTCTTACTTGAAACTCCCTGTCTTTCCTCCCAGTGACCTCTGCAGCTGGTGATTATCTTCTGCACCAGAGCTTCCAGAAGCTTCCTGAGCGCCACATTTCCTGAGGGTAGCACTGAACTCTTGTACCTGCTTCTCTGCCAAGGACACCTGCTCCTGGCCAGAGAGAGCTCATTGCCCGGGCAGTGGATGATGTGTCCAGGGCTGCCCTCCATCAAGGGTGGCTACAACCCTGTGCTCACACCCCACATTCCAAGCTGGGGCACAGAGTGTTACGGTTTGGTCCCAGATGTCCCCCTCAGCCCCAAGAGCTCAGGACAGTGACTCCTGGAATGTGATGGGATTATGGACTTTCGCCATCAGGAGGTGGAGCCTGAAGTCCCATGATCCAGGCACCTCCTTTGATAATTAGCCAGCATCTCCTCCAGTTCTTTACAATTCTTAGCTGTGTGTAGAGTGAAATGACCCCCATTCAGAGAACCGAGAGTGGGGGCAGCAGAAAAGGGGCACAGAAGGGACGCCGGCTCCTCCTTGCATGCGTGGGACAGGTGAGGAGCTGCTTGTGGGCTTGGTATGATCCAGGCCCTTCTTTCTTACGCTAAAATAATTCTTCTCTGTCAGCATCCATTTTCCAAATTCTAGTTCAGATTTTTGATAGCAGAAGGTCAGAGATGTGTGATGCAAGAATCCCCGAGAAATTACCTATCAGAAGTAAAGGAAACACACTATGGTTCAGATCTATCATTATTCATGGATACGTTTAAGAGCCTTGATAAGCTCTCTTAGAGGTTGCACTTGACTCCCGATTTATCTGACCCCACACTCACACCAGACCCCAGCACCTAGGCCCAGTGGAGGAGCAGGACCATGCAGAAGCTCGTTCTGGTGGCCTCCTGCACTGCCCGGGTGGCTGCGGGACAGAGGTGAGTCCCCTTGAGAAATAAGCTATATGGCCATTTGCTGCCCAATTTTCCCTCCTTGGAAATAAAACCCAACTCCCTTACCGTGAGACTCTTCCATCTTGCTCCTGTCACCAAACCTCTGTGCCTGCCAAGTCCCTCTTTGAGTGTCCACTCTTGTCAGGAGCTAACACTTCCAGCATGGCAAGGTGCTCAAAGCGGGAGGCCTCACCCCGAGCCAGGACAGCAGCAGGAATTGCTCACAGCCTTGCCCCACACAGTGTCCCCCCATGGATGCTCGGTCCTTTCTCCAAGGCCCCAGCTCACAGGCAGTGGCTGGGGGATGTGGGTCATTCTGTCTCTAAGCAAGAGCTTTCCCTGCCCAGCATCTCCCTCAAGCCCTGAGCTAGACCCCAGGACTTCCTGGTCCACCTTCGGGCTGCCCTGCAGGCTCCCTGCGAGTATAGACAGCTGTCTCTGTTCCAGAATAACTCTCACACTGGTGGTCTTTGGGCCATAATTGCATAAGCACAGTTGTGGCCAAGTGCAAGTGTCCAAAGGAAGTGATGTGTGTGAGCTGCAGATGCTCAGGGCCAGTTCCCTGGTGTTTCTCCTCCTCCTGGAGAAGCTGCTCTCTAACCAGATGCTTGGTGGGGCTGGAAGTTTGTATCTAAGATAAAGAGCTGATCTTTTGTGGCAATAGCTGAAACTAGGCGAGGAGGGGAGTGTGGAGTCACACGGACGGGATCCAAGAGATTGGCACCAGCTTAGGAAATTTGTCCTGTACGTGGCACCTTTAATATTCCCGGTTTCTCAAATGTCACGTGCCCCTGCACATTTGTTACAGGCACCTGCTAGGAGCACATGTGAATGTGGCGTTTGCTCTGTGACAGAAGAGGGTCAGGTTTAAGGGTCTCTTTCTGGCTGGGGTGAAAAGCTAGAAGCCACTTCTAAGGCAATCATTCTGGCTTGACATATGCTAATTCCACATCAGCCTTTACAACCAATTCCTTCTTTTGATTTAGCATTAAATATTGGGTGCCCTAACCCTCCAAGGGGCAGGAGAACTAAAGGGAGAAAGAACGTACATAGAGACCTGATGGGCCCACCATGGAGTTAATGGAATTACTCATTGGTAGTAACTCCTAAAAATGTTCTTCCAAAGATTTATGTTCTAAAGTTCACAAGAAAAGCAATGGCCCCTGAGTTTTCTTTTCTTTTCTTTTATCCTTCCTTCCTTCCTTTCCTTCCTTCCCTTCCCTTCCCTTCCCTTCCCTTCCCTTCCCTTCCCTTCCTTCCTTCCTTCTTTCCTTCCTTCCTTCCTTCCTTCCTTCCTTCCTTCCTTCCTTCCTTCCTTCCTTCCTTCCTTCTTTCTGTCTTTCTCCGTCTGAATAGATAGCTGCCTCTGCCCCTGCTCTTGGAGAACACCGGGCCCCTAGCCCACAGCCTCCTTGGGAAGAAGCCCTCTTGCTCAGTTGTTTGTCTACTCATTCATTTATTTGTTCATTCACTCAGTCATTTATTCATCCACTACCCACGGAGCACCGTTCTGTGCTCAGCCATGCCCCAGCCCCAGCCCGGCCCGCAGCCCAGCCCTGCGTCCAGCTTCTCCGTCCAGGGGCCTGCAGCAGGCTGGTCTCACGCAGCCGACACAATGCTTGCTCAGAGGCATCCCGTGCCCTGTCACTGGGCCTTTTCTGCCCTTCTGTGCTGTGCTTCCAATGAGGGCTGGCTTTGCACACTCACCCTGTCCACGTTGAGCTGTGCACATTTTGCACACCCCACTCTCATTCTTATTGATCCATGTGTTCATTGCACGAATTCTTTCTTTTTGTTCCTGCCTCCCACATTCACCTGTTCTTGGATGACCAGGCTGACACGTTCCACGGGTATCATCACTTCAGTCACGGGAGTCTCAGCCCCCACAGCCCATGGCGCCCGGGCGGGGTCTAAGGAAGGTAATTGGATAATGGGTCTTACAGCTGCTGTGCTATCTGGCTGTGGAGTCTGGTTAGAAGTGGGGGTTGCTGGGGGTGTGGCCTGGAAGAATTTGCAGTATTTTTCTTCTGGGCTCCTCCCCAGTCTCTCTGCTTCCTGTCCACAGTACCGTGAGCCCCATCTCCCCCACCGGGCCCTGCTGCCGTGCCGCCCTGCCTTGGATCATGGGCTGAAAACCTCTACCAAATGACAGCCAAAATGAGCCTCTTATGACTATGTCTCAGTGTCCCTTGAAAGCTTCATGAGGTCATCAGCGAGGCTTTTTGGAGGTGGCTGGATCCAGGGCGTGCGATGTGGGGATTGATTCACAGCGTGACACCAGGGTTACGGGTGCTGCACCCGGGGTGTGAGTGCTACCCGGTCTAGGAGTGGAGAGTCTGGGTAGAATGAATGGAAGGGACAGAAGGAGGGCTGCTGTCACTGCTGCTTCTTACCTGCTGCTTGGCTGCTTGGCTGCCTTCTGCCCGCCACGAGCTGTTTCTCCTCTGCTCTGCCACCCTGCCGTGGAGTCAGTACGGAAACCTCCATGCTGTGACCTACAATCAATCTCTCCCCCTTGGCCTTTGGGTGTCAGCTATTTTGCTTCAGCACTGAGAAACGTGACTAAGACACCTTTGCTCCTTTAACTTGAGGGTATTCAGATATTGTTTCTTGACAATGAGAAAGGGACTAAGATCAAGGGCATCTTTTAATCAGAAGGTGATGTATAAGATGATCCGTGTCTGTGTGTCTTGTGTGGGCACATATTTTAATTTTATGCGCTTGATAGGGAACACAGACTGTTGAAGCATCCAGCTGGGGCCCACCTGTAAGTCCTGCTACTGGTCAACTGTGTGGCCTTACGGCTGCCCGTGTCCACGTCTCGGATTCGTCATCTGTAAAGGACGAGGCTGTCATGAGGATTATGTTGGTTGATGTCTGTATGGTGCTCGGTGCAGGCTCTTGCAGGTGACTGCCCTCTGTAAGGTCACTTGGGATTATCTCAGCCTCTGGCAGCCCTTCTTTGTGAAATTCCAGACAGAGACACAGAAGGACAGGTCCCTATGGCCCCGGAACTCCTGTGTGAGCCATTCCCGGGTCACCTGCTTGGTCCGTCAGGGCCATCAGTGTCTTCATCCAGGTGGAAAAGTCAGAGGATGGTTTTCAGAGCAGGGTTTTGTGTTGAGCCATGACTTTGAAGGAGACCCCATGGTCAGTTGTAGTGGACTGAGTCCAGCGAGGGCAGAGAAGCTTAATGGTGAGCAAAATCTGGGGGTGTAACTCAAGACACCACTAACTGCGACCCAAGGGCAACCTGGAGTTGCAAGGAAGCTTCAGGGCAGCCTGGGCGCAAGGACAGGCGACCAAGGGCTCTGAAAGGCTGCTCTGGCTTTGGGCCACTGATTGGACACCCTCGGAGCCACAGGCCATGGACCTTGGGGCTCAGTGGCCATGTGGGGAGGATGCAGTATCTGCGTCCGGAGGATAAGGAGAGGTTGTGACCAGGCTGTGGTTCCAGGAAGGACCCTCGCTAGACACTGTGCCCTTAGGCTGTCCTCACATCTACATACTTGGAGAAAATCAGTGTGGCTCTCCAGCGCCCTCTGCTGACACAGCGCCATACAGCAGCAGCTGCTGCTTTGCAGAAGCCTTGAGCCCGGTGTGGCTGGCCAGGGTTCTGAGGAGAAGCTGACCTCCCTGAGGAGTTGCAGGAACAGACAGTGACACACAGGCCACCATGCCTATTATAGAAGGGTTGGACCCTCGAGTTCCACCACTTGCTCTTTCTTTTGAGCATCCGGTCCCTCTGGGATGCCCCATGGTGTGGTCACATTCATCTCCGCCATTCTGAACCTCCCAGCTCAGGGACCACGTGTGACACTGTCACTGTTACCTGGCTTGCTGTGCGAACAGTGCAAAGTAGACCGAGAGAGCGAGCTCTCTCCTGCTTTCCCAGGTGGAAAATCTCAGTGTCAGACATACTTGACTCCCCGTTTCTCCCATGTCCCCA